GCGACCGCGAGCCCCCGCCGCCGCCTGCCCCCGCGAGCGCCCCCGCCTCCGGTCCCGGTCAGGGGTCCGTGCACATGCCCAAGGGCCCTGGTGTGCCCCTGCATCAGCTGCACACTCTGCACTCGCTGCTTCCGATGCGCACCGCCCACTCTCTGCAGCAGCAGCAGCAACGCCAGAATGCAGACGACGACAAAGAGCAAGGTGGCGACGTTGTGGTGTTGGCGCAGTACGGTAGCAAGGACAGCGCGCCCGACGCACACAAGGGCCGTGAGCGCGAGCGGGAGGGGAGCGGAAGCGGCGTGGGCAACAAGACTCACACTCCCATGGGACTAGCTGGGCTGGAGCTGGGACAGCTGCCTCCCGCCGCTGCGGCTGCTGCTGCCGCTGCAGCTTCGTGGGTGGCGGCTCAACAACAGCAGCAACAACAACAGCAGCAGCAACAGCCGCCACAACAGCAGCGACCGCCTGGACATGGGCCGCCGCTGGCGGCCGCCAACAACGGGCTAGGTGGCGCACCCGACGGCCCCGCAGCGTACGCGCGCCGCGATGCCTGGCCTCCCGCGCGCCAGCCGCCTATGGACGGGCGCTTCGGCAGGAGCCGCTTCACCCCCAATCACGATCACGCCCCCCCGCACGGGCGCAACAACTTCCACCACGAGCGCCCCGACGATTTCGGCGAGCGCGCGCCTCCGCCCATGCCCCCGCACTTCGACGGCCCCATGCCTCCACGCGGCGTGGCTTTCCGCGGGGGTGGCGGAGGCGGCTTTCGCGGGGGCGGCGGCATGGACTTCGCGCCCCGTGGGCTGTACGGCGGTGGTCCCCGCGACGCGCGCGCGCCCAACGGCCCGCCCTTCCACATGGGGGAGCGCGCCCATGGGCGAGGACCCTTCCGCGGGCCCGACCACGAGCCTTTCGATGGCTACGAGCGGCCGTCTGGCCCTTTCGGTGGCCAAGGTTCAGCTCCGCCGCCTCCACGACCTCCGCATTTCGGCGAGCGCTTTCACCGCGAACATCATGGCCCCCCTCACGGGCATGGACCTCCACCGCGTGGCGCCTGCATCGAGATTCACCACATGCCGCCCGAAGCTACCTACAACGACGTTCGCCGCTTCTTCCCCGGACTTTACATTGGCAATACTGGCATGAAGCTCATCAACGACAACCATGGGAACCGTGTGGGTATCGCCTATGTGCGATTTACAAAACTGGAGGACAAAGAGCGTGCGCTTGCCTTTTCGGGGCGCACGCTGCGCGGTTCCGTCGTCGAGGTACTTCATTTAGAAGACGACATCTTCGACAAGGCCATAGACTCGTTTCGACCTACAGACACTACCGGCCCTGGTCCCGGTTCCGGCATGGGCGCCGCCACAATTCCTACCACCCAGGGGACGCCCTCCGCACACAAGCAGTTCGTATGCCTGTGCGCGCGCGGCTTGCCACCCTATGTCAAGGAGCCCGATGTTTTCCAGCTGTTCCACGGCTACACGGTGGTAGAGGTAGTGCTGCGTCGTATCGGCCGCGAGGTGACTGCCTTCGTCAAGTTCAGTCGACACGAGGACGCCCAGAGCGCGCTCAAGGCTCTACACAAGCACAAGTTAGGGCGCAACACGATAAGCCTGTCGCCGTGTGCTGTCGAGGAGTTGCTGGAGGCACGCAAGGCACAGCAGGACGGTGGCGCCGACGACAAGGACGACGAGGGCAGCAAGGCGGAGAGCGCCAACGGGTCGCGCCTGCCTCTGGCGACGCCATCAGACTGCGTGCTCCTCAAGGGTCTACCTGCCAACGCTTCAGACCGCAGCATTGTCGACTTCTTCTCGGACGTGGGACTCGTCCCACAGCGCATTCACACGATGTTGGACGCGCAGGGCAAGTCTACAGGCGACGCTTTCTGCGAGTTCAGCTCTCTGGACGAGGCGGCGCGCGCTCTCGGCAAGCACCAGAGCACGTTGGGCAAGCAGCAAGTGACGATTCAGACGGTGCCCCGCGGGGAAATGCTGCGCGCGCTAGGCGCGGCGGCGGCGGCCGCGGCAGCTGCGGCGGGGGCAGGAGCAGCGACAGGCGGTCGCGACGAGCAGACAACAGCGCCCACGCCCACACCCGCATCTGCACCCTCATCGACACCCACATCCGCTCCCGCGCAGTCTGCGCCGCCGCCCCCACCGATGCCCATGTTCACGGCCGGCCGCGGGTTAGGCGGCGGCCGCGGCGGCCATGGACATCCGCGGGAGGGCCTGCTGGGCGCTTCTCCTGGGTCGCGGCCGCCGCTGTTAGGGCACTACCCAGTTGGGCAGCCACCGCTGCACGATGCGCCGCCCGTCGAGGGCTTCGGCAAGCCTGGCTGCGTGTTGGCACTAGAGAACATTCCCTTCCGCGCCGACATCGACGAGATCCTAGACTTCTTCGCCGACTTCGAAGTTTCGCGCGAGAACGTCATTCGCAGGTACAACGAAAAGGGCATGGCGACTGGCGATGCGCGAGTAGCTTTCCGTTCCCCCGGCGAAGCGCAGCGGGCCCTGCGCGACCTGCGATACTGCAAGATCCGCGATCGACCCATCTTCATGAAGATGCTCTGAACTCACGCTCAACACCTTCCACCTCTCCCTTTCCCCACCTTGCGCGCGCCGCCTTAACCCTCGTAGCTCGATGTATTCGCTTTTGTATAAATAAACGATATTCATATATAAGAAAGTCTCTTCATTCCTCTGCCTCAAATCTAAGCTGTTAGTAGAAGGAAAATGGCTCACGATTTTTTTTCTCCTCCTACCTTCCAGCGTAGTATGGATTCTCGACAAGGCTTCAAAATCTTTGTTTCTGCCTTCGTTCCAAGGGAGCAGGGAGATTATTACTATCTAGCACCCGTTTAAAAATTCTGTAATTAGTACCGCAAGTACCAATGCCGTAAATCATGTATCTCCTTTCACAATTTTATAATACAACTAGTGCTGAAACAGCACTACCTTCTCACCTTTAGTAATATGTTAGTAACACTGGTCTTTAGTAACGCTGTTTATACCAATCCGAATTAACACACTTCAGTCATCAATTTAGGTAAAACTCGTTGGAAGTCGTAGAACATTTGGTGAGAAAATTAAAAAAGGTTCAAGTAAGGGATTTTTTTTATTCAAAACGTTACGTAAAAATATATTTCTGGCTCTGAATTCATTGTGTAAGGTATACAGTGAACATTAGTTTTTTAGCCTTACAATATTTTTCGTAAAGAGTGCGAGAAAGTAGAATAATTCAATGTTAATAAATAATGCGATACTCATTGTTCGCAAACAAATGCAAATACATCGAAAAATATATAATTATTAAACACTATAATATTGTAATATCCAAAAATATGAAAGTATTAGTTAATATGTATTAATGCGAAAGAAAGGCGGCCGTAATTATCGCCTTCTGTTAGAAGTGCGGCGTTTCAACAAGCAACAATTACCGCTAAATCGTACGGGATACACATCTTGCCTGTTAACTTTGTTGATACCGCTAGAAAGAAAATCTATAATATAAAAATGAATCGCAAAATGTATTGGTAAGCGCATTACTCAACAACGCCTGGTCCAATTTGGCCAACTCTTTTTTTTAATGTTCGTTGAAGTTCAAGGATGGTTTTTACGTCGAGAAAAATTCGAATAATTGCAGGAAAAACCCTAATAATAGCCTTTTTCTTTTTCCCATACAAACGTTTTCTAACTAAAACGTTGAGTCAATTTGAGCTTTATAGCTATTGTATAAAGCACTCATTGTTGTTTAAACAATGTAGATATGTTCCTAACGTCAAAGAGTCAATTTGCACTTTATTACCGTTGTACAAAGTTCAAATTCAATCATATCTATCAAAACTGTGCGTTGGAGCACAGAATACATCGTTGGAGAATTTAATGTCGCGTTCCGAAACTATTAACAAAATAATATATAATATAGATATGCCTCCTATTAGA